GAGATCTGTCAACTGCGGTGAGGGACACAGACCTCAGGGGTGAGGAGCCATCTCGTGTGGATGGGCTGGGCTCGGGATATTTGAAGATGTTTAATGGGTTTGTTCAGGTCTATGGGACCCAGTTCCATCCCTGAGGCCATGGGTACATGAATGTTTTCCTGTACCAATATGGTACTGTTTGCTTCCTGATGCTGGCAAGGAGGCAGACGGCACCGGGCATGAGACTGATCAAGGACCAACTGCACCAGCAAATGTTGACCTCAGAACAGTCATACACTGAGTCCTGGGATATAGAAAGTTTTGCTGCATATGTCAGGACAAGAAATCTGATCCCACTGTGGCCAGTAGAGTACTTCAGCTTCACCCACTATCGGTTGTGTTGTCCAGATTTCCTCCACTGCCCACCCAGAGCATGAGTAGGTCCTCTGCTTTCGAGCTGAGTGCAATGAGCAGCGATGGGCACAGGGCCTGGAAATCTGGCCCATTTGGAGCAATGGTGCCTGCAGCCACCCTCTCACCTTCATGCTATCAGCCTGAGTGTGACATCCTTTCTCCTAATGATGCCAGAACAACTTAGAGACTCTATTCTTATGAAAGCACATTTTTTTTTTGTTTTTGTTTTCTTTTGTTTTACCAGCCAAGCAATCGTTGGAAAGGTATCTCCTTTGAGTTTCAAACTGATATAAGAAAATGTATCTTGGGCATTAAAGGAAGTGGAATAATTATCTAAAAGATATGTTAATTTTAATCCAATCCTCCTTTGCAAACACTAAAAGTCATAGACATCTGTGTGTTGTATCTTATTTTCTCACTCTCCCTCAATCAGGGATAATCTACCCTTCTAACATATATTTATTGAGAGCCTTCTATGTGCTAGGGGTGAGCAGGACAGTGCCGACATCATCTACTCTCACGGAATCGACTGTCTGGTGAGAAGGACAAGCACTAAGCATAATAAGTGGAGACTCCCAAGCCTTGTTCATCTCCAGTGATATTTATTGCAGTCGCCCTTTGGTCTGAAACCTCTTTTCTCCATAGAACATGTGTTGCAAGACAGCCCCATGGGGGTACTTGAGTTAGGGCAAAGCTGAAGTTGCTCTGAGTTGTACACATTTCTCTGTGTTCCAGCCGTCCCTCCACCCCTTCCCACAGCAGACTGTTGCGACAGGGGATTGCATCATGCCAATACCGGCAGGAATTGCTGAAGGAACCCGAGGCACTTGCACCTTGGCTTGGAAGACTTCTGTGCTGTTTCACTCTGCATTTCCTCATCCTGTTGTGGATATGTATTAAATAAAAGAAGGAGTGTTAGATGCTGGGGATGAGTTTGTGGTTTTATTAAGCTCTCAATCTGGAGGTGGAAGCACCTCATGAGTGAACTTGCCGTCCCGATGTCGATGGCCTTAGAGTTAGCATCTTCAATTCCTCAGGGCCTTACTTCGCCCTTTCCAGCCACGAGCGAGCATCTCTTAAGATTTAGAGGATGCTGCACGCTGAGCATGAGTAATTATTTCTAGAACAACCCAAGCTGGGTGGAAGCCATAATGAACATTCTTGCTGTTTTCATATACTACAAAATGAAGGTAAAATCGGTAGTTCATGGTGTATGCATGATGCCATCCGATAAACTATAGTTCAGTAAGTTAAGGTGTGAGTTGTCTTTAGCCGAAGGGTTGAGGAGAGGATTCTGCTTTGTCCACAATGACCCCTAAGTTCTGAGAGGTCTGAGGACGGGTCCTTTGTGGAAGTAATCTGATAATTCCATTTTAGCATGCTCAGTTCCATGGCTTACAAACTTCCTGCAGTAATCTGAGCCCTGTCATCTATAATATGTGATTTCTAAGACTTCCTTGGGAGGGGAAGGAAAAGAAAGAAAGAACAGAAATGACATACCTGGGAAGCCTCTCTAGGCCAGTATGGGGAAGCCTTATGCTCTGGGTTTGTTGTTGCTGTTTGTTTTATTTTTTTTTCCCAAGCCTATTTTGTTATGATTTGTAAGGGGTTTCTTGGAAGGCAGCCATTTTTCAGTGACAAATCTACACTATGAAGGGGAAGTACACACTGTTGGTTTAGCTGTGCTTCTGAAATCATAAAAATTCCCTCTCTGGATGGATGGTTAGGAGAGTTATGAGAATTAGGGTGGGGATGTAGCTCAGTTGGTGGAGTTCCTGCCTAGCATGAAAAATGTTCAGGATCTAGTCCCCAGCACCAAATAAACCAAACAGGCCATGGTCACCCAGCTGAAATCCCAGGACTCTGAAGGTGGAGGCAGGAGGATCAATGATTACCATCTTTGGCTACACAGTGAATTTGAGGCTAGCCTGGGATACATGAAACCATGTCTCAAAAAAAAAAAAAAGTTATAAGGGTATCTTTCTGGGCAACTGGCATCAATCTCAGTAGAGATGGGTAGTGAGAACTGACTGTTGGGACTGCTAAAATAGAAATGGCATCCTTGTTTTTGAGGGCCGGGAAAACTGGCCCTAAGGAGAAGAAGAAAGGCTATAGCTGAGAAGTAGCCTACCCGGAGCCTAGGGCTGTTCCTGATCTGACCCTGCCAATGGAAAGGATGTTTTGTTTTGTTTCCTGAGTTCTTGTCATCATTCCTATTTCTTATATGTCTCCCCTGGGGGGTTCTGGTACTGTGCTCTGGGTAGACTATCACACCCAGCCTTATCTCCTGAGGTTCTTAACAGATGGGAGAAGAGCAGAAACGAACCTCCCCACAGATGCTGATGTAGTTCTGATGGTCTCTCAGCATGTGGTTTCTTTCTAGGACTCTGCGGAGGCCAGAGAAAAGGGTCAAAAGATATCATTCCTGTCTGCTGTTTGGAACAAATCTCAATGAGCACGACTGTGTTTATCAGTCCTCTTTTAATGTTTTGCATGCTCGTGGGAATGTTAGGGGCTTGTGCTGTGCTTTAATTTCCCCACTTGGGAAACAGTAGAATTTCTTTCCACTTTCTTTATACTATTGGCCACTTAGAACTTCTTGGGAAATTCCAAAGTGTAAAGCTTCATGATGGGTCATAAGGAAAGAAGTATGTATTTCATATATAGAAGTGCTTGTATTTCACACACACACACACACACACACACACACACACACACACACACACATACACATATTTTTATGTTGGTATAAGTTAGCAAATTAAACCAGTGTTTATATTTAATTCTAAATACACTCACTCTCATGCACTCAGGATGGGGAAGGTGCTGTGGTTAGCTTTGTGAACAAAACAGCAAATATAAACACAAGTGACAAGTTTACAGGGTATATCGTTTCCTTAAGATATGACGTGAAACCCCACATGAATACACAAAGCTGGCTACTCTCAGTTCAAAGAAGAAGGAGGAGGAAGAAGAATAAGAGAAAGAGGAGAAGGGCAGAAAGGAGGAGGAAGATGGGAAAGTGGAGGAGGAGGACCTAAGAATCCTAAAACCAAAATGATCACAGAACAGAATAAAGTGAATCAGACAAATATTTAAACCCTTAACGTGGGGAATAGGGAATTGCAATTTCATCTTCTGAGTCACAGATGATGGTTGGGAAATAACCAAGGACACCTTTCAGACCCAGCCAAGCTAGACATGCTATACTCAAGGAGACGAGAGCTGATCTCGCAGCAGGAGCCGCCCATGAGCAAATCATTCTGTTTTGCTTATTTACACAGCCAAAGGAAATCGTGAGCTTGACCATTCCTTACTGAAGAAGGATTCTTTCGTGCCAAGAATCTAAGCAAGTTTTTAATTTTCACAAATATATTTTTGCTTCACAAAGTACTAATTTTATTAAAGAACTGAAATTGCCAGTCACGGTAGCGCACCAACTAGAATCGTGGCCCTTGGGAGTTTGAGTCAGGAGGATCAGGAACTCAAGGCTATCCTCAGCAACAAGGCAAGCTGGAGGCCAGCCTGGGCCACAGAAGGCTGTCTCAAAAAACTGAGCAATCAAATGACTGAAATTAACCAAGAGTGGGACCATGTGGATTAGGATCTTGCGTTTAATTTTCTAAGTGATTTTTTTTAAGTGTTTATGCGTGTATACATGAGTGCATATGTACCATGTAACTACAGCACTCGTAGAAGCCAGAGTAAGGCATTGGATACCCAGGAACTGGAATTACAGACAGTTGTGAACCACCAGTTAGATCTGGGGAATTGAACCCTGGTCCTCTGTGAGAGCTTTAGTGCTTTTGCCTGATGAGTCACACATCTCCCTGCTCTGTAACGTGTACTTTTTGTTGTTGTTTTGCTTGTTTGTTTTTCAAAGCAGAGTTTCTCTGTGTAGCCTTGGCTGTCCTGGACTGGCTTTGTCCACCAGGCTGGCCTTAAACTCACAGAGATAGGCCTGCCTCTGCCTCCCTAAGTGCTGGGATTACAGGCGTGTTCCATCATGCCCAGCTTGGTGTACTTTTCTTTTCCTTTTTTTGTTTGTTTTTTAAGGCAGGATTTCTCTGTGTAGCCCTGGCTGTCCTGGACTTGCTTTGTAGACCAGGCCAGCCTCACTGGAATCTGCCTGCCTCTGCCTCTCGAGTGCTGAGATCAAAGGTGTGCGCCACTGAGTGTGTGCTTTTCTTAAACTGAGAAAACTTAGGCACAATTTACAAATTTGCAGATTATCCTTCTCTATATTGTGTGAGTGTAGACATGTGTGCGAGAGAGAGAGAGAGAGAGTCCTAGGTGACTTTTTATTTGCTGGGGGAGGCTTGTGTACGCCGCAGTGGACCTGTGGAGATCAGAGAACAACTTGCTGGAGCTGGTTCTCTCCTTCAACTGTGAGGATTCCAGGGACTGAACTCAGGTTGTCAGGGGTGGTGGCAAGCGCTTGGCTTGATGACCCCTCTTGGCTTGTATCACCCCTGTGGCCCCAGCTAGACCCAGCAGAACATCACATGCTCTTAGCACATTTTTACAGCTGCCCCTCGAGGATCAGTAGGGAGAAAAAGTGATTCCTTCTCAGAGCAACGCACAGGTTCCGGACAAAGACACAAGACTCTAGTAGCATTGTCGAATTTATTAACATAATTGGAACATTTTGCTGATAAAACCCTTGCCTGTGACTATTCAAGCAACGAAACTCTACTCAAAAATATTTCACTGTGAAATGGCATTGCAACTCGAATGCAGTTTGTATTAATGAGTTGACTTCCATAAAGTAAATTTCACTCTTAAATTAGCCAATGATATGATTTAAAAAAAAAAAAAAAAGAAAGAAAGAAAAGAAAAAGAAGAAAAATTTCCTCGTCCCTATTCCAACCCCATGAGGCTCAAGCTGAGCTGTGGGCCCTGGGACTCCACTGAAGGTGCTAGGAAAGGGCTGTGACTCAGTTCTAACTCACCGGAACAGGCCACGAGGACTCATCCAAATGCACACTACACAGAAACCACAGAAGGACATGAATTCACCAGCTGGCTCACAGGAAGGTGCAGGTTGGATCGGCATGGTGGAGCATACCTGTCCACACTACCATAAGCTGTCTTAATTACATGAGCTACAAAATCATCCCATCTCCATCCTCCTTATCGCTCCCACTGCCCCTCCCACTGTGATCTGGGAGGAGACCCTGAGCTTTCCGTATTCTGTCTTTGCATTGCTATTTTTGTTTTGAGACAAGGTCTTATGGACCCGGTGGCTGAGCCTCAACTCCTGATCCTCCTGCCTCCACCCCTCAGGGCAGGAATCATAGGCATGTGCCACTACACCAGCATTGCATTACTTTCCCAATAGAAACAAGAAAGACACGGACATGCCTCTCTTAGTACCCCAAAAGCGTGTGAGAGAATATCAGCATGGGTAAGCGGATCTGGGCTCCCTGTAATCTTCTGGCTTTTGATGCAGTTCGATTATCAAGTTTTACTTCCTACTTATTTGAATAGAGGCTTCATTAATTCCTTCAAAGGTTCTGAAACTCAAGACTAGAACATGTGGCCATGCCAAAACAGGAAGACTCTAAAACTTCAGCTGTGATTTCAGTCACTTCAGTAAGAGACTTCCTTTGCTGGTCCAGCGTACTTTCAAAGATGATGAAATCCAGGGGTCCAGAGGCTACCTGTGATTGGGAGTGTATAACTAAGACTAGCAACACAGGGGCCCCCAGCCTCGGTCCTTGAGGAGAGCATTATTAAAGTTTTTCTCCTGTTGTATCAGCCACTTAAAAAAAAATGGCGGGGACTTTTTTCTCCGGCAGCAGCAAATGATGGGTGTGCCTTTATCACCGTCTCTGGGCCATGCCAGTAATGGGCTAGGCTTCACTGTAAGCAGTGGGTCCCCCAAAGACAGGTCAAAGCCCCAAAGTTACCCTGATGACACCTGAAGGACCACTCAAAACTATCTTTTTCTGGTGTTGGTCGGTCACAGTCACATGTTCTGCTCTGTGTGGGCCTGGGGGTGGAGGGGGAGTTCTACCTTTGCTCCAACAAAGGGACAAAGAGACAGGGAAGTGAATGGAGATTTCCAACCAGAAGGGGACTCACTTCTCTTTCTTAAAGGGAAACCATTCTAACACACCTCACCAAGATAGAATCTGCCCACTCGCTTCCCAGAAAAGAACTTCTGCGCCTGTTCTCTTAGCCCACCTCCCTTTCCTTCCCTGCTCTGACCTGTTGCCCCCTGAGGGTGCTGGGCTAGCCTGGCTCCTTATAACAGGCTGAGGACTAAGTAAAGCTTGTCCAGAGTTCAGAGGAAGAGCACAGCGAGTCAAAAGAACATAAGAATAGTAGTCTTTCTCAGGTCTGCTCCTGTGGACCCTTGTCAGCTCCAGAGCCTTCAAGACGCCATGTTTCCCAAGGCAATCCAGCTCCTGCTTTTCGTTTGTCTAGGAAACACCATTCATTCCCATCACACTTCCCAGGATGTGCTGAGCGATCCTGGACCAGACAGTGACTCCCCAGGGTCTCTGCTCCCAATGTGTTCTTCAGATTTTCTGTTTTTCCATGACTTCGAGCCAAACACTGGACCTCCAGATTACAGAAATGGCCTCCTCGCTCTGGAGGTCATCTCTACAGTCTAAAGAAGAACCACAGCTCCAGGCTGCTCTGCAGCTTCTGTTGATTCCACTTCTTCTTCCTGGAGTTGGCGGGGGTGGGGTGGGGGGGCTGGAGGGAAACCCAAAGCAAAGAACATCATCCCTAATTCAGTCCCACTTGGGCCATGCTCATGTTAGAAGTTAAAAGTAGCCTGATACTCAGGAGCCATTCCCCATGAACCACCAAAAAAATCCAAGAGCCAGAGGCTGGATGGGAAACACAAAACACAGAAGTCATTTCCTACTAGCTCTCCAGGCAGGACATGAATATCCAAACTGTCTTCAGAGGTAGAGAGAAGGGGAGGACGTTGGGGAGAAATGGGTGAGACAGCTCGTTTGTGAACCCACTTGTGTCAGGCAGACCTCTTAGGGCATTGGCTGCTGTTGCTGGGCTCTGCAGGAGACAGACAGGGCCAGCTCGAGGGGGAAAAGGGCTAGTCATTTTGCAAGAAAGCAAGGGCTTTGGGTACAGCTGGGCAACCTCAGGTGGAGTGGGGGGGAGAGGACGATTATGAATTCTCCTCAGGGTAACAAACCACATTCTCCCAGATCATCCTGGACTTGTAGTTCCTAGCCAAATGGGTAACAGATAATCCCAATTAGCAAAGCATCTCTCGGGTCAGGTGGATTCTGAACATGTTTTCAAAAGAAATGAGTGGATTATCAGAACTTGGTTGCTTGTGTGATTCTTCTCACCAGCAGAAACACGCCTTACCATGGCTTCCAAGGGCTTTTGCTCTCTGGAAAGGCCTGGTTGGCGAGGAACCAACACAATGCCACCAGTCAGAGACACAGCATCAGGACCGTGGTCACCTGAAGCCAGAGACTCAAATTCGGAGAAATCCTACTCATCCCAGACTTGTCTATCAGGTTGCAGAACCTGAATGTCGTATTCCTGATCAGAGGGGCCTGGGGATGCTGCTGCTGCTGCTGCTGCTGGTATGTGTGTGTGTGTGCGTGTGTGTATGTGCGTGCGTGCATGCCTGTGTGCGTGTGGGAGTGTGTGTATGTATGTTGGAGAAGCAGAATGGCTCTGCCTTCTTTCCTGGGTGTGGCCCTCACGCACTTAACGAGTACTGAGACTGGCTATAGCGTCCTCTCAGAAGGGAAGGAAACCACAGGACAGCATCAAAACTACAAACATAAAAAAACCACACACACTGATTTCATCCAAGTTCTACAAGGGGACAAATAAAAAAGAAAAAAAAAAATAGCCCTTTGTGGTAAAGGGCATGCTGGGAAGGCGAGAGCCTGAGCCCCGTTCCCAGAGCATGCTGGGAGGATGGGCACCAGAGCCGCCTCTCTAGAGCATGCTGGGAGACGGACACCAGTACATCTCCAAAGGCTGCACTCCCCCACCTCCCACCCTGTTCCCTTACCCACCCCCAACCCGGAGACTACAGGAAAGTTTGTCCAAAGATGACTGTGGAATGGGGAATGGCACGGTTCTTCGCAGGCCCCCCACACTGTGGGGGTTAAGTCAGCCAGTGGGGAGAACAGTCAAGGTGAAGACAGAGAAACAGAGAGGCGGGAGAGAAACCGGGGTGACTGGAAACAGTGACTGGAGGGGCCAGTGTGTTGGCAGAGGACACGGGGAGAGCAGAGCAGCGCGCTGGGTGTCCGCTAGCCCGAGGCGTTGATGTACAGCTGGCTCTTGAGGATGTAGTCGATGACTGGCTGTGACAGGTAGTCCACGACATGGCCGTCCCCGTGCTGCAGGGCCAGCCTGCATGAGAAGAAACAGCAACTGAACGGGCATCCACACCCAGAAACCACCAGCGCCCTGGTCTGCCCCCTGCCTTTCCGGAAAGGGTCTACAGGGCCCCGCCCCCAGCACCCTACCAGCAGCCTTTGCTTGGGTTGAGTGAACAGTATTGGCAAGATCCTCATCACCACACAAACTGTCCCTCCACCCCCAGTGACACCTTCACCCTGTCCTGCCACTGGGCGGCTGAGAGACCTTGGGCAAGGTTTTGTTTTTGTTTTTTATTTTTTTTCTTTACATTTATTTACCGTGTGTGTGTGTGTGTGTGTGTGTGTGTGTGTGTGTGTGTGTGTGGCATTCGTGTGGAGATCAGAGGGCAATCTGTGGAATTCAGTTCTGTCCTTTACCGGGTGGGTCCTGGGGATTGAACTCAGGTCGACAAGCTCCTTTACCCACAAAGCCATGTCTCTGGCCCACTGGGCAAGGTAGTTAAGCCCTTTTCTTCAGTGCTTCCTTCAGAACAAGTAAAGCAGCATTTATGCCAGCTACATCTAATTACTTAAAGGATTAAACAAGTCACTGGGTCATCATACCAAACATAGGGTTGACATTTTAGGGTTCTTTCTTTCTTTCTTTCTTTCTTTTTTTTTTTTTAAACAAACTTCTTCATGTGTGTTTTTGGGAATTCTTATTTCATCCCTTTGGGATTCTCTGCATGCCGGTCTCATGAAAACTGGTCTTCTGGAGCATTCTTAGGCTTACATTCACCTTTCGGGAGCTCTTGCCTGTGAGCCCATGGAGAGCCAGCAACAGGTGGAAGATTACAGGGACAAATGGATCCCTGCACAATTTTCCTCTGACCTTCTGCTCTCTGCTCATTTCTCAGACAACGGTCTCAGGATGTCACTGAGCCCAACGTGGTGACCCTGTGACCGGCAGAGAGGTTCTCTGCCATTTTAATTGCAAGCCCCGCCTTTCCCTTACAAGGTGTGTCCTGAAGTGTCTCCCTGAACAGCGAAGCTTTCTGAAAAGTGGTCTCCAAATAACAGTCCTAACTTCATCAGACTTGGCAGAGGATCAGAATCTGAGTCCAACCAAGAAAATCCTAGGCCGGGTCGAACCAAATGAGACACAGAGGTTTGTCTGACCCGGAGTCTAAGGAGGAGCCGTGCTGGAGTCAAAGCACCCACTGCCCTGCCACTCTCGTGGTTATCTCCATAACTGTCTTCCAAGGGAAGGAATCCAGTAGACGATGGGGGTCCCTGGTTCATTCGACTTCTCTGAAGCAGTGACTAGATGCCAACGCTCTCCACCTTTGGACTCTTTCTCCTTGCTTATGGGGGCTTCTAACTCCCCCTGGGCCTTCATGTAAATGCTATTAATCTTGCATTTGTCTGTCGGCTGCTTTCTAGTCACTGTTTGACTCTGTGAGTTCATCTGGATCTGGAATTTTTTTTTCTAATTAACTTCTATGTCCTGTATGTGTCACCATGTCACAGGACTTTTCCACTCGGGGTGTATGGAGGAGTCTGTTAAGTCTCTAATATTAATTTCTGTTTCTTTTAGTTTCGTTTTAGCTCTATGGCTGCCAGGCATTAAATTGTGTTTTCCAGCCTCCCTTCATCCACGAGCCAGTGGGATAACAAAGGAAATGGTATGTACAGCCCTGGGTTACTTCATTATTTATTATTTTCAAGATTCATTTGGTCATATTTTATGTGTATTGGTGTCTGTTTGTGTTTCATGTGCGTGCAGTGACGGCAGAGGCCAGAAGAGGGCACTGGATCTTCTGGAACACAGTTTTCTAGATGGTCATGAGCTGACATGTGGGTGCTGAGAACCAAATCTGCTTCTTCAGGAAGAGCAGCCAGGGCTCTTAACCACTGAGACATCGTCCCAGGCCCAGTTTATTTATTTTTGAGATAGACTCTTGCTATGCAACACAGGCCAACACTGAAGTTTTTATCCTCCTGCCTCTGCCTCCCGAGTGTATGTATCATAGCGCCTGAGTGGGTCACCTTAAAAACAAAAACCTCCTGCCTCGGGCTTCGCCTTGTTCTTTCCTCTCTGGCTGAGAACAGGCTTGGCAGTAAATGTGCCCCCAACAGCGAATGCTTCTGACTGAATAGACTAGATTCAATTCCTTCATACTTCTATGAGTGAGAACTATACATACACTTTATCCGAAACTCTTAATATTGAGGCCTTTTTAAAATGGCGGCCTGACTTATACTTTTACTAATAATTCATGGCTTAATCAGCACCCCAAACTAAGAGTTTACAACTAAAACAAGCAAACAAACAAACAAAATCCTCTTCATCCATCAAGCCTACTAAGACCAGTTAATGCATCCTTTCCTCATTTAAGTGTAAACAGCTGGGTGGTGGGGCCCATGCCCTCGGATCCCAGCAGAAAGGCAGATGAAGGCAGATCTCTGATTTTGAAGCCAGCCTGATCTACAGAGTGAGTTCCAAGACAGCCAAAGGCTATACAAAGAAACCCTGTCTTGGGAAAAAAAAAAAAAAAGTAAATAGGGATAAATACCTGAAGTCCAAAAGCTGAGGCAGCACTGAATCTAAGAGTAGTGTGGTAGTTTCGGGGAGAATTGTTCCATAAGCTCATATATTTGAATACCTGGCCCCCAGCTGGTAAACTGTTTAAAAGAAAAGATTAGGAGGTATGGCCTTGTGGGAGAAGGTGTCACTGGCGTGGCCTTTGAGGTCTCTCTGCCTCATGGTGGTGGCTCAAGATGTGAGCGCTCAGCAACTGCTCCGGCAGCATACCTGCCTGCCTGCTGCTGGGTTCCCTACCCGATGGTCTTGGACTGGCGTCTGAAACTCTTAAGCCCCAAACAAGCTTTTCCTTCTGTTAGTTGCCTTGGTCATGATGTCTTACCAGAGCAATAGAAAAGCAGCCAAGACAGATTGCCTTTGACTGAGGAAAGCTATGGAGACTTTTAAAACAGTTTGGCCAAAGCATCTCTGGCCGTTTGTCAACCATACCTGCTCTTGGTGGAGCTGACTACAGACATGGGGTGGTTGATGTCATCCTTTACCACCATGATGTTGTTCTGGAGACAGAGCAGAAAGAGCAGGTCACAGATCCCTCTCACGGGCTACTTTCGCTCCCTCACTCTCCCGGTCCCCCAGAACCTTCAGAGATGGGCTGCACACACAGACACAGCAGCAGGAGATAGAAAACTCACTTTATATTTGCGGAGTATTGAGGAGTGATTCATGATTCGGTCTGTGTCGGCTGCATCCCGGGGCACCACCACAATCCCAAAGTCCCCGACAATCACCTCCATCTGAAGAGAGGGGAGGAGGGGGAGAGGGAGAGAACTGGTGAAAGCGGTCATCCTCTACCTCTTTCTTACCAAGCGACAACAGAGTAGGAGAACATTCCATTCTTGGAACTTCAAACATTAGTTTCCAGTTTGCCCTCTCAGCCCCATCAGTCAGAACCTGAACTACTGACAATAGTCCTGGTAGAATGAGTGGGAACCTTCTCCGCCACAGAAGATGCTTAAGAACCACTTCTAGAATGGATGAACATCCCTTTGCCTGTGCAAACAGGCCCTTCATTATCCACAAAGCTCTTATTTGAGTTCACAATGTTGCAGAATAGCATGGGTAGCCGATAAATACCGTCACAGGGTGAAACTGATTCCATTGTCCAGCACATCTACCTCAGCCCGCAGCGGGGCAGCATGACAGACTGTTTTGCTCCCTTCTTCCGTGTGGCTCCCCTCTATGCTGTGGGATTCCAGGGCAGCCACAAGCAGAGACACACTCAGAATAACCCCCTATGTGTACAGGTAGATGGGGACGATGGTTAACTCATACAGGGGTCACGTCTGAGATCAGCCTCTGGCAGAAGCTTTTTTCCATATGAGAAATAAGATCCTTTAGTTAGAAACAAACAAACAAAAAGTAACTTTTGAGGGAGTATCGCTGAGAAAGGATCTTGATATATAGCCTAGGCTAGACTCAAACTCACCATCTACTTGTCTTAGCCTCCAGGATGCAAAGTGACAGGTACGAGACACCACACCAGCTCTTTTTATTTTTATTTTATTTTACTTTTTCCTAAATGGCAGATACAATACAAGCTTTGGAAATACAGGGGGAAAAAAGAAATCAGTCTCAGCCACACTGTCCAGTTACCCAGGGCTGAGCCTTCAGTATATCAAAGTACTTTCCTTTCTCTGACCCACATTAGCACGAGACTGTGCATGCCTAGCCACACATGAGGCTCTGGCTCTGATACCACACACCAGAAAAAATTAAAATAAAAGATCAGTTGCTTAAGTAGTAATTACTTGCATTCTCTTCTTGATTTTGGCAAGATTTATTTTGTTTTTAACTCTGTGTGTGTGTGCGCGCGCGTGTGTGTGTCTGTCTGTCTCTGTGTGTATGTCTGTGACTGTCTGTCTCTGTGCATGTGTGTGCTTGTGCATATGTTCGGGCAGTCCCGAGCCTGAGTGCAGGTGCCCATGAAGGTCAGAAGCAATCCCCCTGGAGCTGGATTTACAGACAGTTGTGAGCGGCCTGGTATGGAGATGAGGACTCAAACTCAGGTCCTCCGTAAAAGCTGTTCACTAAGTCATCTCTCCAGCCCCCGCTTGCATTGTTTTCATTCGACACTGGATTGCGAGCATGCCGTCACGTCATCATCACGAGGACTATTTGAGGGCCAGATGCATGGTGTAGCAGGCAAAGGCCATGGCCTTGAATCCATGCCTGGAACCTACATGATGGAAGAAGAACCAACTCCTGCAACCTGGCATCCATGCCATGCTCCCACACTAACCGATCATTAAAAACTACATGGAAACACGGGTGTTTAACCTTCTCTATATTTTATCATAGTCATACAGTATGGAAAGTTTATAGCTACTTCTGATTTTTTGCAACATAAATTTTTGTACATAACACTTTGATGACTATCTTTAGACAATTTTTTTTTTTAATCACATCTCTATTTCCTCAGGATAAGACGTAACAGAATTGGATGAAAGGATGTGAACTGGAGGGATTTCAAGCTCTTGAGACATATTACCGAATCACTTTCTAGAAATGTGCTAATACTCATTTACAAGAAGCTTGGAATTTACAAGCTCGGAGCAGCTTTAGATGCTGCCAGTTACGAACCCCACAGAAGGAGGAAGGATGAGGCTTATAGGCAGGTCAACTCACTGAGAAAGATCTGCTTTGGGGTCAAAGGACTCGGAATTCCCCCCCACCTCATAATTCCTGAAAACGAGTTTCACAAAAACGGAAGATGAAGAACTGTGTTCCATTCTTCTCTACCAGTAAATTCCACACCGTCAGAATGCCACTGTAAGCCTGATTCAGTGTGTGTGTGTGTGTTGTAAATCCTTGGGTGTTTCTACCCACTTTTACTCTGCTTTCCCTATTGCTTAACAACTGCTTACTATAAAAGGCTGCTCTTGAGCACCCTAGAGAGTGAGACATGCAATATCAAAGCCTCCACCAGATCTTGTCACTTGGAGACGGAGCAGCACGCAGCAAGACCCCCTAAACCGCCTGTTTCTGTAGATGTTTTAGGATAATCTGGTGTGAGCACATAATGGCAGGCCTGCTTCCCACTGCTTGACTCTAAGGGCCATGTGATGGGTGCTCTCTGTCTGACGTGTGTGGTAAGGGGGTTATTCAGAGCGAGCGTTCTAGTTTAAAGCATGAACAGAACAGCTCTGGATGGCAGCTGGCGCTCACGAGGGAATCCCGCTTTGGTGACATCAGTGCAGCTGTTGCTTTCCACTCAAGACCTAATGATCTGATGCCCCATCAATAACTGTGCCAAGGCTTGCTGGGTGGCAGGCAGATGGAGCCCTTGCTGCTGACGATATTTCTCCTTTCTAATAAGAGGTGACAGGCTTGGCCCTGGGAACCACAGATTAATAGTCTTTCTTCCTGGCTTCAGGTCAGACCCTAGAGATCACCTCTGCTGTTTTGGGCGGTGGCTTTCAATTTCATACCAGAAAGTTTGTGGGTGGACGGAGGTATGAGAGAGCAAGTTGTCCGCCTTGGGAGAGTTCAGCTGGTTCAGGCTCCCAGCTGGACCCATATCTCCTAGTTTTCCTTCTTCTGTGGATGCTCCTTTTGGCCTCTGTGCTGATTCTCATGCCTCTCTGAGCTTGAAACACTGGACTCCACCAGGCTTCTCTGTCCTTGGACCTTATATTCATACCCTTAATTATTTCATCCCATTTCAACACTCATATAAAAACACACTAAAGACTCTCAAATCAATATTTCCATCATAGCGTATATTTCTAACTAAAAGTGTTCATGAGCCTCTGGACCTGCTATTATAAACAGGTTCTCTGGAAGTTTGAATGAGACCATCCCTCATAGGCTCAGATGTTTGATCCCTCGGTCCCCAGTTGGTGGAGCTGCTTGGATAGGTTTGGGAGGTGTGGCCTTGCTGGAGGAAGTATGTCAAGGGGTGGGCTTGAAGTTTCATAAGCCTTCTGCTATTCCCAGTGCGCTCTCTCTGCTTCCTGCTCTCTGTTCAAGAGGAGACCTTGCTGTTCCAGCCGCCATGCTTGTTACCTCTGTTCTTCCATTGTGCACTCTAACCCTCTGGAACCAGAAGCCCTAATTAACTCTTTCTTCTGTAAGTTGTCTTCATCATGGCGTTTTACCACAGCAATAGAAAAGTAAGTAATACAGACTCCCTCTCTCCCAAAGAAGTGTTTTCTCGTGGTCGTTTCCTCTTATAATTGTACTCAGCAAAAGTCCTGCCATTTTCCTTTTTTCTTCTCTTTCTTATGGTCAGCCTTCAATGAAATCCAATTAATTCTGTCTTCAAAAATGAATGTAAGAGCCAGGTTTGGTGGTGTATGCCTGTCATCCCCGCACTGGGAGGTGGAGGTAGAAAGATCAATAAATGGTTCAAAGCCTAACTGGGCTACACGAGACCCTGTCTCAAAACAATAAAAGAAAACAAAACCCATATGTGACTCTGCTCAGTGCTCACTTATACCCGGGTCCAAGTGTCCACTGGTATAATGACATCCCCCCCCCCAAAGAAGCTCCAAGGTCAAACCCTGAAACTTGTGATGGTTACCTTATATGATTAAACTGAGGGAAATAATCTTGAGATTATTCTGGTTAATTTGGGTGGCCCTAACATCAGAAACAAGTGTCCTTCTAAGAGAGAGGTAGAGAAGAATTGGATATAAGAGAGGAGATGAAGTAAAGACTGATCCGAAGGGGGAGGAGAAGGAGGCCAGGAGCTAGGAACACAGCACATGCAACTCCTTGTCTAGGATAGCTGGTCGGCCGACTGCCCTACAGCCTGGAGGAGGGTAAACAGTCAGTGTTTATAACTGTTCGTAACTGTAAGAGACTGGTCTGAGTCTAGGACTACCAAGTTTGCTGTATGGGGGTGGTCCTTAAACCCATCCTTCTCACCTGGATCCTCCTGGTTTTGCTTAATCTTTTGTCTTTGTCAGTGTGTTCCCAAACATCCAGACTTTCACTTTTGGGTGAGACCTTTGCTCTTGTGTTATCTTAAACTTTCGTCCTGGGGTGGGGACAAAGCTCAGTGAAAGAAGAGTGCTTGCCAGGCATGCACGAAGCCCCAGGTTCAATTCCCAGTGCTGCCTAAACCAGGCACGATAGTGAACACGTCTCATCCCAGAATCTGAGGTGGAGGCAGGAACATTAGAAGCTTTGGTCATTTTTAGCTATGCAGGGAGTTTGAGGCAGGCCTGGGATACATGAAACCCTGTCTGGTAAACAAATAAACAAAATAAATAACAATAAGTGACTAAATGCCCACCCTTTGTACGTGTGTGTTACAAATCTAATTGAGAGGGTTGCATTTCAGCCTTTTTGGATCTGAGCAGTGGCAAGAACAAGTGAATTACAAACGACAGTGAATGGAGAGTCAAGAAGAAAGGACTCAGTCCATTCCCTAGGAAGGAGCAGCAAGGTGTGACAGCTCAGTGATGTTCAACAGAGGAACTACTGGAAGTTTTAGTCATAAGGACTCAGGGATCCACAGATGCATCTCCTGGCCTCAGGGACTGGGTGTGTGAAGTGAGCCTTGCTGATCTGAAAAAAGATGAAGTTGTATTTAGAAAAGTACAGCTAATTATTGGTGATGGTTATAGCAAAGACTGCTTAGCTAAACTAATGTCCACAGGCCAGATCTTACTACGGACATGCATGGTTAGGGCGGTGGGAAGAAAATGCAGATGAAGTTCTTGTTGGTGCCAGTTTTACAGTGCTCATTGTAAAGCTGACCAAATTCCATATTTACAGTTTATAAATA